GTTCACCATAACCTTCTATTACATATAGAGGGACCACGTCCACATGCTCCAGATGTGTTTTGTTCTTTCATTCAAATTTCATCACGAGATTTCAAATTTGATTAATTAAACTTGAATTTTTGTGTATATATAGCACTAGTGCATTACTGTGTTATATTTGGATAGAACTTTAGAGTTTTGTTTTTCGTTTTCTCTTTACTAATTAACATATTTGTCGTAATAAGAATGGACTGTTTTATATGAATTTTGTTTGCACAATCTATACCAAAGGAAAAGTAGGTTGATTGATAAATGTTGGGAAGAAAACTTACTTGTTTTATATCTCCGGTCCAAATAGATTAGGTATAAGCTAAATATCTAAAACCTGTTGGCATATTCAAGGTGTAAAGCATTCCTCCCAAATGGAATTGAATTAGTGACCTTGAACTTGAATTTTTACTCTCAAGACCGCTAGACCACCATCCACTTGGTAACTAGTCTAATCAGTCAGTTCAGCACAAAATCCGAATTTTCATGACATTAACTTGTATTTTTCTTTGAAATATTATATTTTTTTTTTAAATAACAAGGATTATATATAAGTATTATGTTATTTTACATCATGCAAAATATGCGTTCTCCTCTTCTTCCAACCTAACAAAATCTAAGTTGCATGATATAACCAAAAGCTTCTCTAAATTGCATGATATAACTAGTCAATTAAACCATGATAGACACCGATCATAATTGTGGAATTGTTTTTTTTTTTTTTCCTTCTATTTACCTGAAATCTCGAGCTCAACCTATACCATGTCTAAGTTTTGAATAAATTTTCTATAGATAAAAACAAAATTTATGGTACACTATATTGACTTGCGCGATTATATATTAACTAACTAATCATATGCCATATAATGAAACTAGTCAATTACCCACATGAGGATGGCTCTCCGGCATCTGTCTCAACTTTCTGGGCCCAGGCCCACTAAAAAACTCTCAAATGTAAAATCTCACACAAGCCCAAGCCCATTTAACAATACAGCCCTAATTTCTTATCGTAAACCTAGCTGAGTACCAGACTATATAACCTTTGTTCACTCTCTAATCCGCTTCCTCCTTCACAACAAAACCCTAGAGAGAGTTTCTCAATCCCAGAACCCGGCGGCGAAAATGAAGTACAATCCTCGAGTCACCTCCTCTCGCAGGAAGAACAGGAAGGCTCACTTCACGGCCTCATCAAGCGAGAGGCGTGTCATCATGAGCTCACCACTCTCCTCCGAACTTCGCCAGAAGTACAATGTCAGATCTATGCCGATCCGTAAAGACGACGAGGTCCAGATCGTTCGTGGTACTTACAAAGGACGTGAAGGTAAAGTTGTTCAGGTTTACCGTCGTAAGTGGGTGATTCACATCGAGAGGATCACAAGGGAGAAGGTGAACGGAACCACCGTGAACGTCGGTGTTCAGCCGTCGAAAGTTGTGATTACGAAGCTTCGTCTTGATAAGGATAGGAAATCGCTTCTGGAGAGGAAGGCCAAGGGTCGTGCTGCTGCTGATAAGGATAAGGGAACTAAGTTCACTGCTGAGGATATTATGCAGAACGTTGATTGAAGATCTTCGTAAGGTTTTATCTCTTAGATTTATCGTTGTTGGTTCTCAGTTTTTATATTTTTGTTGTTTTGGAGAATGTTATCATCAGTGTTTCTTTATGGTTGTTTGGACATGAGAATGGCTCTTTTGAATTCGAAACTTCTTAAGTTTGATTATTGGGTTTTGTTTCTTTTGATTATGTTTTGCTTGTGGTATTCATTGATTTGGAGGATCTGTATGAAATGTTTAGGGTTTGATAGTGTAGAAAATGGTAGTGAAGTCATACACTACCAAAAGCTTGTTGATACGCCATAGGAATGTTTACTTGAGGTCTTCGGCTTAGGTATAGAAAATTGGAAGATCTGTTTTTGATAGTGGTTCACATTTGCAAATCTATTGGATTTGGCTTATTTTTGGATGTTAAAACGAAATCATTTCAGACCATTAATGATGATGTTTCGTGGTTTAGGCTTAAGAGTTTTGTTACTCTCCAATGGAGTAGTAACTGTTTGTTTTAATTGGAAAACAACTCTGATCGAAATCAATCATTTAATTTCTTTCATCGGTTTTTGCCAAATTCTCTCTTCTCTAATGTTTTATCGTATTTATGTGATTGATTTTTATATTCCTTGTGATTTATCTGCCAAAATGCTTGACAAATTTTGATTCCACCACAGTAATCGATTGATTCTATCATATCTCCTGTTTGTTTGCTGCCTTAGAATAAAAACAGAGAATACATTGCTAAACCGTAAGATTTGCAAACAAACAGATATTGCTACCAAAATGGAAACGTAAACTCAAGTCTCAAGAATGGCATACGCGAGAAAAAAAAGGCTAGTGTAATGTTCATTGCTAAACCCAAGGTCAATGGTTTGTGTAACTAGGCTTTTCAAGGTTTAAGAGCAAGCGAGAGACTAAACCTTGGCAAACTTGTCTAAACTCTTGGTATCAATCTCCCTTGAAATTGTCACTAACTATTTCAGCTCCCTATTAACTTGAAAAGGTTTATACTTTTCCTTCCAAAATAATCCTCCTAGAGAGAATCCAACAAGAGCTTGTAGCTCAATGAGAGACAAACGCAGGTTGGTCGGAATCTCATGCTTTACCTGAACCGAAAACAAGCTTGTTTCGTGCTAGTTTAATCAGAATGAATTCCTTTCTTCCCAACTTGGGTTTCTTAGACAATTCCTTCCCTTTAAAATCACCCCAAGAAACCCATCATGAGAAATGGCTTATTCTTCTATTAAAGGTGAGATTGGCCTCAAACTATACATTTCATTTTCTCAACAACACCAAACCTTTCCTCTTTTTTTCTTTTCTTGTAAACCTAGCACCAGCACAACGCAAACCGAAGACAATATTGCTGGTTCTTAGACACAAGATTCTCTCCATAGATTTGCATCACCAGAGCAAGAAGATCTTTGCTGATTCTGCCAGCAAGTGCATGGAAGACAAAATGAAAAAAGAACTTAAAGAAGCAGTTCAGACAAGAACTTATCCCAGCTACCTTTTTTTGCCTTCATAGCTCAGTGTGAACTTCGTGTCCTTACAAATTATGGAAGTTCTAGTGTTTCCATTTCGGGCCTCTAAAAAAGGAACTATGGAGACTCCCATGTTTTTCAAAGACACACCAAGTTCACACTAAGTTATGAAGGAAAAAAGATAGCGAAGATATAAGCAAACAAAAGAGTTTGAAGTTGATATCAAGAAACCAATCGTCAAAAAGCTCAACATTCAATCAGGTAAAACATGATCTGGTTAGGTTCTAGCTCGATTCAATCAGGAAGATCTGGCTTTTATAGTTGTTTACAGTTTGCAACCTACTGGACTTGGCTTGTTTTGGAAGTTGTTAAAAGGGAAATCATTTCAAAAAGCAGGTGTTTTTAAATGTTCATTTCGGACTAGATGATGTTTGGTGGCTTAGGCTTTAGAGTTTGATAGTTATGTTACTGTTGATTCAAAAGAACTCAATTCTGATCCAAATTTATCATTTCATTTCTTGGATTGGTTTTGCTTTATTCCTTTGTTCTCTATTGTTTATCGTATTTATCTGCCAAAATGCTTGACAAATTTTGATTCCACAACCGGTGATCTATTGATTCTATTTTCTCACCTGTTTGCTGCTTTCTATAATCTTTGTTCCACAATATTTGACGAAAATGTAACACGAAAGATCTTAGGTTCTCGACTCTTTTTGCCACGTTCATAATTTATCTGCAAAACCAATTGTTCTTATGTGATAAAATTGTTTCTCTGTAACCAGAACATTGTTTCTCTGTTTCCAGATGTGATATATTGTAGCTAGGACCACCAATTTACTGAGCAGACTTGGGACCATTGTCGAGCCGAGTTTGATCCAAGACATAAGCTCTGACCAAGAACTGAAGAAGTGGATCGACCGATTCAGCCTTGTGAGCACAAGCCTCCAAATCTGCTCACTATAATCACACCATAGCAAAAGGTGATCTCTAGTTTCCTCCAAAGCAGAGCAAAGACAACACTCTTTAGGGACCTGCATCCCCCATGAAACTGACCTTGATCTTGTAGGTAACCTGTTGTAATTAGCAATCCACATAGTGAGTGCATGTATAGAGATAAAGCCTTTGAGRCATATTAGACCAGACCAATTGTCACCAACCCCATCAATATACCATTCATAACAGTCCTGGGAGAATCATTATTTGGAATAGTCCACGAGTTGTGAGGTGAATGTGCAGGTCCATGGCCTCTTCTGATCTTGGTGGAGCTAGCTTCTAGTAACCAGAACCACAGACAGCCGAAACCTTTTCAGTTAGTGGCATCCTCAGGCTATTCC